ACACACTGGACCTTTAAGTGAAGGGCACACACACTTTTTCAATAAGGCACTGCTGTGTGGCAGATTCACCAGAAACAACACCAAGGAAAGGCACTTGAGCTGTCTAATGTCCTGGATATATTGAATGCAATGGTGACCATAATGTATAAAGATTTGTTCATGTACAATATATCTCTATAGTTGTTGTCTTTTCATGAACATATTAGAACCCGAACAGACACTTACACAATACATCTGAATGCATATCAGTGTCACTATTAGTATATACATTTGTTTCATTTCCTGATTTAGCTTCCTAAAATGGATAAATACAATAAAAACACCAGCAATAACAATATATTAACTAAGATATTTAACAGTGTGGGGGAAACTGATACCTTGACTTCACATAAAACAGAAACTGTTGGTGACCAGGGCTTGCCGCCCTGCTTGCTCCCTTTTAGTGATTAAATATACCCTCCCCACCCCGTACCCCTTAGCGAGAGCTGTGCACCTATTAAATCCTACAGCTCCCGCTGATCGATCGGGCCTGCCCCAGCTCCACGGCCATAAACCCACACAGACATATATCTGATAGAGAAAGCTGCAGGAAACAGGTTTACCCACGATAGAACATGATGAAAATGACAGATTTTATGTCCCCTGCCATGTCAATGAAACACCACCGCTGAGCTGAGCCGCTTTTCAAGAAGACTCTCCGGCCTTTTCAGCCATCTCATCATCAGTACCAAGGAACGAAAAGACTAACAGTGCTACCTTCAGCAAGAAAGGGCCTTGTGATTTCTCCAAACAGAAATGTGTGCAGAACAGGATTTAAAGCTGTTGTGGTTTGTGACATTGTTTAGTAGTTTAACAGGAGCTGTAGAAGGATTTGTAGATTGTGTTTGTTGAATGTGGTTGAGATTTTTGGAAACACTACAAAGATGTTGAAGATTAAATTGTCTTTAAGATGAATAAGCCACATACTGTAAAACATATCAAGAAATTAGTCAGAAAACACAGTCATCAGATTTTCAACTTGTTCTCTCTCCACCTCCTGCGTAGTCGGAGGAAGGTTGAGCCAAGCCGACTACAGAGTGACAGCCGATCTTCTGTCCACGCAGCACGAAGCATGTTAAAGCCCCGACCCCCCGCCTCCACACATTCGAATCTTCGGCCCTCGCATTTTCTCCATCCACTTTCACTCCTCGACGGCAAATGCCCTTGCAAACTCTTACTCCCTCCTTCTTTTTATCCATTAGGACGAAGGCCACCCCTCAACCCCCCCACCCCACCTCTCCATGGGGCCTCTTTGTAACTGTCGAGGAACCCTTTTCACTTTTTGTTCTGCAGGCCTTCCCAGGTCCTTTCTCTGTTGATATTCACACCATCTGCCAGCAGCAGAGGAAGGTGCACACAAACGCAACCAGCACTGAGACATCAAGATCTCCAGGGTCGAGGTCCTCGTTTCGTCTTTGCACATGGCATTAAAAACACAGTTTTAACAACTGGTATGCTGCAACCAAAACATTTTTTGCAGCTATCCAGGGACCTCGCTACTGCAGTCTCACCCCTTGTTTGCAATGGTACGTCCTGCTAAGTCCCCCCCAATAGAAGTGGCTGTAAAGAATCACTCAAGCCGCACTAAGCAGCTGCCTGTGAGTTAGGTCATTTTCCCAGGAGCCACAGAGTGGGCATTGGCAGGACCTCAAAAAGAGGGGACACCATCTGTTCAGCGCCTGAAAAGGTTGGTGACACCTTCTGTGGTACCAACAACTTCTAATTAAGTGGCCAGGAATGCAGTAGCAGCTCCAGTGCATGATTGGTGGGCTTGCCTTAGATATCCTGAGGACAACACAGCAGACCCCCGTTCAGTTTCACGCACCTCTCCATCACATCTGGCCATGGGCTAATGAAAAATTAACAGAGACTGGATACAATAAATACTTGGTGAAGGTGGCACATGAATGGAGAAGCCAACAAAAACTGTATTTACTTTTGCCTATGATTTTTTTTGTCCCGTTTTTGTATCACTTAATTGAATGTTTATCAGGAGCATAGAAAACTGCATTAGCCCTATGGTCAATCCCAGCGTGGTTTGTTTCTGTTATATCATGATGCCCTAATTTCATTAACATTAGGATTTAAATGAAATAACAAATAGACTTAATATTCTTCTGATTTCCATCGCCAAATCTGCTGCTCAGAAATGTTACTAATTAGGCTTATTAAGTAATTAAGAAGAGGTCTTAATTATATCTGCGCCACTGGGACCTGCACGGCTGTAACCATGAAATGCTGTGCCGCGCTGCTCAGCTTTGTTGGTTTGGATGTTACACAGTTTCATCCATTAACTGTAAACTGAATGTTCTGTGTGTTTTAGAGATAAAAAAGTCTCTAGTCTGTATTAGGCAAATATCTGTATGACTTGAAATTACAGAGAGAGAAACACTCAGCAGCCTTCAGAAGCACAGCCTCAAAATGTCAAGTGAATTACCTTGCAAAGAGTTAAAAGTTTAATGAAATATATTGCGGGAGGAAAATGAGGGGTTTGGCACAGGCATGGACTTAGTCTCAGGAGAATGGGCACCAAACAGCCCTCTCCGTCTCTACAGCCATCAGTCAAAGTAGCAGCCACCCGTCCCCTTCTCTTACACAAGGAGACTTCTCTGGAAGCCACAATGATCTATACCCCATGACCTCACTCTCAGTGTCCAACATATTTTGATTTGTAGCTCGAGTGTTATTCAAACACAAATTCAAAAGAGGATGAAATTCAGC